ACACCTTCCTTGGAGTTCTCTACAACCACATCAATCAGACTGTGGCGATATCTGAAGGTATCCGCAATAAAGTCAAGGGTCTGGTGACAACACAAACGCAGGACTGGACGGTCAGGGACTGTATGTCGGCTTTGGGCCTGCTTATCTACAGCGGACGCATCACTGGCGTCGCTTCAGCGTGTGCATACTTTTTCTTCAAGTTCCTACGACGTCGTGTATCAGCGGTGGGAACATTACGACAAGAGATCGATGGTCCGGCCAGGATATGGAAAGCCGCTGAGAACCAGATGAAGGCGTGGGGGCAAAGTATTCTAGATGCTGAACCTAAACAAGTACACCTTCAACAACACGAGGAAAATGCCATCATTATTTTCACAGACGCGTCGTTGTCAGGATGGGGTGTGGTGCTTTGCAGAGGTCCACTCTTGGAGACGGCTGGAGAAGCGGAGAGATGGACAGACGTTAACCTCGAGGTGGCGGATACATCAGCAGGTGAGTTTTCGGACGAAGAGAAAATCTGTATTCTCGAAGCGCGCGCGATGTTATACGGTCTGAAGTTACATCATTTCGAATCCCTTCCTTCAAGACAGGTGACTATCCTCATTGATAATGAGACAGGAAGATTGGCATTCACCAAAGGACGAAGCAAGAACGTTATTTTGAACAAAATCATAGCTGAAGTCAAAGAGTTACCGGATCTGAGACTGTTGAGAATTCCGACTGAGAAGAATCTTGCAGATGTGCCAACAAGGATCAGCAACCAATCAAGACACTAGAAGACGATTCAATAGAGCAACTGGCCGTCGGCAACCGGCAACTAGCCGTCGGTTGTGGGAATTGGATCATTACAGAAAGCTTTTCTTTCTATCTAGAAAGTTTTTACTTCTGTAGAAACTTTTCCCATTGTGTGCGAAATGCAAAGACGAGAAACTAATGGTGATCTGAGGTAGCTTTACTTTATGCCTGGATATATGTATGTACCTACCCTTGTTGAGACAAACCTGTTGAAGACAGAAAAATAGGACTGACCATATATTAGGGACCTCAACTTTTTGATCCGTCCGGATCTGCCGCTGTAAAATAATTCCGACCTGTACTGGGGAAGAATTCGCCAAGCAATTTGAAAAAGTGCCAGGGGTGGGGTTCGAACCCACGAAACTTGCGTATGAGATCTTAAGTCTCACCCCTTTGACCAACTTGGGTACCCTGGCGCCACCAACGTTCAGTACTTGAACTAGATTCATTTCCCGTAACCGCAACAAAAGTGCTCCCAACAGGGGTCGAACCTGTGACCTTGGGCTTATTAGACCCACGCTCTAACCGACTGAGCTATGAGAGCCATGCTCACACTCATACAGCGCCAAAGAACGTTTGTTATTCTGACGGTTTTGAGAAAAAGATCATTGACAGCATTAAACTCTCCGTCGTTAGCGTAGGCAGATCTTCTCGGCTTTTTAGCTAAGATCATGTTTTTAAACTGATCTTATCAGAGTAACTCCTGATAGGGACTTGTTCCCAGGATCCAAATTTTAACGCAATGTTTTCTTGGAGTCACACTAAGTCCAAGAGAACAACTTTTTTGCGTTCTGATTAATGTCTGCTGTCGGAAAAGCTAGATCTCTCGAAGATTGACATCGACCATACACAGGGGATGTTGCTAATCTTCTCTGTTGGATTTCCAATGTTGTGGATGTCCCTTTCGGGCTCCAGAAGTCGCCGGGCCAACGCCACAGATACTCATAATACGAATTTTATCAATCAATTTTAGCACCTGTGAAAACTTATTTTTCACATGTTGTGTGTCTCGTATAGTGTAGCGGTTATCACCCCGGACTCTGAATCTTTTTTTTTTTGATTCAGAGTCCGGGGTGATAACCGCTACACTATACGAGATTCGTTTTGATTAGAAAATAATGAGCGGTTATTACTGATTATAAAGGCAAAAATGCATAAATGCAGGACGCTCGTGGCGAGATGGTCGAGTGGTCTAAGACGTTGGATTAAGGTTCCAATCCTTC